GTTCACTTCTGATACAATAAATAAATACAAGTTGAATTTGTATGCAAGTCAGAACAGGCACATTTTTCAAGTGTAACTCCAGTCAAAATATATATATTCCCAGAATTCCTGACCATTGAACAAGCTGCCTAGGGATTTTGGGACTTAAGAGGTCCAAACAGCTGGAGGGCTGAAGTTTGAGGACCCTTGGGAGGTGGAAGTAGGTGAAGGAAGTTGCTTGCACCCTCATTTATGTATACAAACACACACAAACACAAGGTAGCAAGGAAGATGTTTGCACCCTCATTTATTTATACAATCACACACAAACACAATGTAGCATATGTCAAACAATCTTCAGCATTCCAGTCTCATAATCCCCCTTACAGTCCCATAAACCGCTAATTTTGCATGTGACTGAATGTTTAAAGATCACCAGTGTGAAAACGGAAAATAATTTTTTAAAAATCACATCGAGGAGGAGCCAACTTTTTTTCTGTTGCTTTATTTATTTTTTATTTACGGCATTTATATGCCGCCCTTCTCACCCCAAAGGGGACTCAGAGCAGCTTACAAGGTATATATACATACAATATATTACATTATTAGCATAGTATAATATCAGTATTAAATATTACTATATTGTACTATACCATTATATTGTAATATTATTAGTAATACTAACCGTCCCCTGCCACGTGTTGCTGTGGCCCACTCTGGTGGTCATGGGGATTCTGTGTGGGAGGTTTAGTCCAATTCTATCGTTGGTGGGGTTCAGAATGCTCTGTGATTGTAGGTGAACTACAAATCCCAGCAATTATAACACCCAAATGTCAAGATTCTATTTTCCCCAAACGTCACCAGTGTTCACATTTGGGCATATTGAGTATTTGTGTAGAGTTTGGTCCAGATCCATCATTGTTTGAGTCCACAGTGCTCTCTGGACGTAGGTGAACTACAACTCCAAAACCAAAGGACACTGCCCACCAAACCCATCCAGTATTTTCTGTTAGTCATGGGAGAACTGTGACCAAGTTTGGTTCAATTCCATCGTTGGTGGGGTTCAGAATACTCTTTGATTGTAGGTGAACTATAAATCCCAGCAACTACAACTTCCAAATGACAAAATCCATTTTTTTGAGTGATGGACATACATTGGGTTGTTAGGTGTCTTGTGTCCAAATTTGGTGTCAATTCGTACAGTGGTTTTTGAGTTCAGTTAATCCCACAAACAAGCATTACATTTTTATTTATATAGATTACATGTAATATAAATATATAATATCATATTATTAGTAGTATTATATTGCATTACATTATAATATTATAAATATGTGTATATACAATATATTATATTATATTGCAATATATTATATTATTAGAATAGCACAGGACACAAGGTAGAACTGTCCCCTTGGCCATCTTTAGAGACCAGGACATCAAATAATGGGTTCACATTGCAGGGAAAGAGATTTTCCACATTAGGTAAGACTTCCTGACTGAAGTTTCTCTGCCCCGGAGTGTGGTAAAGCCTCCTTCTTTGAATCATAGAATCATAGAATCAAAGAGTTGGAAGAGACCTCATGGGCCATCCAGTCCAACCCCCTGCCAAGAAGCAGGAATATTGCATTCAAATCACCCCTGACAGATGGCCATCCAGCCTCTGTTTAAAAGCCTCCAAAGAAGGAGCCTCCACCACACTCCGGGACAGAGAGTTCCACTACTGAACGGCTCTCACAGTCAGGAAGTTCTTCCTCATGTTCAGATGGAATCTCCTCTCTTGTAGTTTGAAGCCATTGTTCCGCGTCCTAGTCTCCAAGGAAGCAGAAAACAAGCTTGCTCCCTCCTCCCTGTGGCTTCCTCTCACATATTTATACATGGCTATCATATCTCCTCTCCGCCTTCTCTTCTTCAGGCTAAACATGCCCAGCTCCTTAAGCCGCTCCTCATAGGGCTTGTTCTCCAGACCCTTGATCATTTTAGTCGCCCTCCTCTGGACACATTCCAGCTTGTCAATATCTCTCTTGAATTGTGGTGCCCAGAATTGGACACAGTATTCCAGGTGTGATCTAACCAAGGCGGAATAGAGGGGTAGCATGACTTCCCTAGATCTAGACACTATGCTCCTATTGATGCAGGCCAAAATCCCATTGGCTTTTTTTGCCGCGACATCACATTGTTGGCTCATGTTTAACTTGTTGTCCACGAGGACTCCAAGATCTTTTTCATACGTACTGCTCGCGAGCCAAGCATTGTCCCCCATTCTGTATCTTTGCATTTCGTTTTTCCTGCCAAAGTGGAGTATCTTGCATTTGTCACTGTTGAACTTCATTTTGTTAGTTGAAGTGGGACTCATTGCCTCAGAGTCTGGTGAAGTGTTGTTCTCTGGAGTTTTTTTTTAAAAAAACAGGCTGGATGGCCATCTGTTAGGAGTGCTTTGATTGTGTATTCCTGCGTGGCAGAAGACTGGACTGGATGGCCCTTGGGGTCTCATTTATTCAAGGCTGCACAAAAAACAAAACAGAAAGAATGAGCAAGTGTTGCTTGAAACACAAACAGGTCATAAGCAACACATGCTGAAATCCCGTTTCCCACCCAATAAGGTAAGATACAGAAGCAGTCTACGGTTTCCATTCTGGTAACCTTTAGTTCCTTTCTATATCCCCCAGCAGGGAACATGCAAACTCTCATTCAAACCCACAAAGGGTATCATAGAATCATAGAGTTGAAAGAGATCTCATGGGCCATCCAGTCCAACCCCATTCTGCCAAGAAGCAGGAAAATTGCATTCAAAGCACCCCTAACAGATGGCCATCCAGCCTCCGTTTAAAAGCTTCCAAAGAAGGAGCCTCTACCACACTCCAGGGCAGAGAGTTCCACTACTGAACAGCTCTCACAATCAGGAAGTTCTTCCTCATGTTCAGATGGAATCTCCTTTCTTGTAGTTTGAAGCCATTGTTCCTTGTCCTAATCTCCAGGGCAGCAGAAAACAAGCTTGCTCCCTCCTCACTGTGGCTTCCTCTCACATATTTATACATGTCTCCTCTCAGCCTTCTCTTCTTCAGGCTAAACATGCCCAGCTCTTTAAGCCGCTCCTCATAGGGCTTTTTCTCCAGACCCTTGATCATTTGAGTCGCCCTCCTCTGGACACATTCCAGCTTGTCAGTATCTCTCTTCAATTGTGGTGCCTAGAATTGCCCTATATGATCAGAGTGGAAACTGGAAAGGGCTTTAATGGTTGTGTGGAAAGTGGCACTTTGGCAGGTGTTGTGTATTATCTGGTGGCATGTCATTGAATTATAGGGTTATAGAACCATAGAATCATAGAGTTGGAAGAGACCTCATGGGCCATCCAATCCAACCCCCTGCCAAGAAGCAGGAATATTGCATTCAAAGCACCCCCGACAGATGGCCATCCAGCCTCTGTTTAAAGGCTTCCAAAGAGGGAGCCTCCACCACACTCCAAGGCAGAGAGTTCCACTGCTGAACGGCTCTCATAGTCAGGAAGTTCTTCCTCATAGAGTTGGACGAGACCACATGGGCCATCTAATCCTACCCCCTCCTATGCAGGAAAAGCTCAATGAAAATACCCCGATAGATGGTCATCCAGCCCCTGTTTAAAAGCCTCCAAGGAAGGTGCTTACACCACACTCCAAGGCAGAGAGTTCCACTGCTGAATGGCTCTCATAGTCAGGAGGTTCTTATATATCCCGACAGATGGTCATCCAGCCTCTGTTTAAAAGCCTGCAAGGAAGGTGCTTCCACTACACTCCGAGGCAGAGAGTTCCACTGCTGAATGGCTCTCATAGTCAGGAAGTTCTTATATACCCCGACAGATGGTCATCCAGCCTCTGTTTAAAAGCCTTGACACACTCCAAGGCAGAGAGTTCCGCTGCTGAATGGCTCTCATTGTCAGGAAGTTCTTCCTCATAGAGTTGGACGAGACTACATGAGTCTAGTCCAACCCCCTCCTATGCAGGAAAAGCTCAATTAAAATACCCCGACAGATGGTCATCCAGCCTCTGTTTAAAAGCCTGCAAGGAAGGTGCTTCCGACACCCTCCGAGGCAGAGAGTTCCACTGCTGAACGGCTCTCATAGTCAGGAGGTTCTTATATATCCCGACAGATGGTCATCTAGCCTCTGTTTAAAAGCCTGCAAGGGAGGTGCTTCCAGCACACTATGAGGCAGAGAGTTCCACTGCTGAACGGCTCTCATAGCCAGGAAGTTCTTATATACCCCGACAGATGGTTATCCAGTCTATTTAAAAGCCTGCAAGGAAGGCATTTCCAACACACTCCAAGGCAGAGAGTTCCTCTGCTGAACGGCTCTCATCGTCAGGAAGTTCTTCCTCATAGAGATGGACGAGACTACATGAGTCATCTAATCCTACCCCTTCCTATGCAGGAAACGCTCAATTAAAATACCCCGACAGATGGTCATCCAGCCTCTGTTCAAAAGCCTGCAAGGAAGGTGCTTCCACCACACTCTGAGGCAGAGATTTCCACTGCTGAACGGCTCTCATCGTCAGGAAGTTCTTCCTCATAGAGTTGGACGAGACTACATGAGTCATCTAGTCCTCCCCCTCCTATGCAGGAAAAGCTCAATCAAAATACCCCAAGAGATGGTCATCCAGCTTCTGTTTAAAAGCCTGCAAGGAAGGTGCTTCCACCACACTCTGAGGCAGAGAGTTCCACTGCTGAACAGCTCTTACAGTCAAGAAGTTCTTTCTAATGTTCAGGTTGAATCTCCTTTCCTGTCATTTGAATCCATGGCTCCATTGTGTCCTAATCTCCAAAGCAGCTGAAAACAAGCCTCTTTATGACATCCTTCCACATATTTATACATGCCTCTTCTCAATCTCTTCTGCAGGCTAAACATACCCAGATTTTAAGACACTTAAGTGGCTGAGGGAGGAAATGAAAGGGTCTGAGACTGTTAGGGATTGTGGGAGTTGAAGTCCAAAACACCTGGAGGGCCCAAGTTGGCCCAGGCCTCCCCAAAGGCTCCCCCGTTTCCTTACTTGGCATAGTAGACCCAGCCGTCCTTGGTGGTCCTCTCCTCCCAGCCAGGGGGCAGCTCCTCCTCGCTGTCGGTGTCGTCCAGACCCGCGTACTTCAGCGCCGCCATACCGCTCTCTCCCGTCTCCAAGGCAACCTCTTCTCAAAAGAGCCAAGAAAGGTCCCAGCTCCTAACCCCAAAGCTTCCTTTCCTACTGTCCCACTGAGGCGGAACCTTTCTGCTCTTCGGCGTTGCACACCGAGCCCCTTTTCATGAAGCAACCCTTCCGTTCGGGTCGGCCAATCACAGAGCGGGGAGGGCGAAGGGCACGCTGGGAAATGTAGTCTTGGGGGCCAAAAAGACACGTGCGCCAGCCCTGGGAAAACAATCGAGCGTGGGATGAGTCAGAAGAGCCAGGCTGTTCTGTTTGGGAATGGAAAGTTTTTTCTTTCTATCTCTGAAAAGATTTAAAAATGGAAAGGGAGAGGATTTACTCTGTTGCTGCATGATCTCCTCTACAATAACTACCTGTTGTGGGTTGCTGTGAGTTTTCCGGGCTGTACGCCCCAGAAGCATTCTCTCCTGACATTTCACCCATATCTACGGCAGGCATCCTCAGAGGTTGTGAGGTCTGTTGGAAACTAGGCAAGTGAGGTTTATACATCTGTGGAATAATGTCCAGCGTGGGAGAAAGAACTCTTGTCTGTTGGAGGCAAGTGTGGATGTTAAAATTGGCCACCTTGATTAGCATTGAATGACCTTGCAGCTTCAAAGCCTGGCTGCTTCCCGTTGTGGCTTCATTAACTGAAGTCTGTCAGAGGGCCCTTCCACACAGCCCTATATCCCAGAATATCAAGCAAGAAATCCCACAATACCTGCTTTGAACTGAGTTATCTGAGTCCACACTGCCATATATTCCAGTTCAGAGCAGAAAATGTGGTATTTTTTTCAGCTGTATGGAAGGGGCTTCAGATAGCCCAGTTCAAAGCAGCTATTGTGGGATGTTCTCCCTTGATATTCTTGGTTATATGGCTGTGTGGAAGGCCCCTGAGTCCACACTGCTATACATTCCAGTTCGAAGCAGATAATGTGGGGTTTTATAACGTGTGGTAGGGGCCTCAGGCGTACGGCAAGGCTGCATACTCTCACCCAACCTTTTTAATTTGTATGCGATGTGCGGGGCTTGAGGAATGCAAAGCTGGGGTGAAAATTGCTGGAAGAAACATTAACAACCTCAGATATGCAGATGACACCACTCTGATGGCCGAAAGCAAGGAGGAGCTGAGGAGCCTTCTAATCAAGGTGAAAGAAGAACGCAAAAGCTGGGTTGCAGCTAAACGTCAAAAAAACCAAGATTATGGCAACAAGAATGATTGACAACTGGAAAATAGAGGGAGAAACCGTGGAGGCCGTGACAGACTTTGTATTTCTAGGTGCAAAGATTACTGCAGACACAGACTGCAGCCAGGAAATCAGAGGACGCTTACTTCTTGGGAGGAGAGCAATGTCCAATCTCGATAAAATAGAGAAGAGTAGAGACATCAGACTGGCAACAAAGATCCGCCTAGTCAAAGCCATGGTATTCCCTGTAGTAACCTACGGATGTGAGAGCTGGACCTTAGGGAAGGCTGAGCGAAGGAAGATCGATGCTTTTGAACTGTGGTGTTGGAGGAAAGTGCTGAGAGTGCCTTGGACTGCAAGAAGATCCAACCAGTCCATCCTCCAGGAAATAAAGCCCGGCTACTCATTGGAGGGAAGGAGACTAGAGACAAAGTTGAAGTACTTTGGCCACATCATGAGGAGACAGCAAAGCCTAGAGAAGACAATGATGCTGGGGAAAGTGGAAGGAAAAAGGAAGAGGGGCCGACCAAGGGCAAGATGGATGGATGGCATCCTTGAAGTGACTGGACTGACCTTGAAGGAGCTGGGGGTGGTGACGGCCGACAGGGAGATCTGGCGTGGGCTGGTCCATGAGGTCACGAAGAGTCGGAGACGACTGAACGAATGAACAACAACAACATGTCCCAGAAGCATTCTCTCCTGACATTTCACCCATATCTACGGCAGGCATCCTCAGAGGTTGTGAGGTCTGTTGAAAACTAGGCAAGTGAGGTTTATATATCTGTGGAATAATGTCCAGCGTGGGAGAAAGAACTCATGTCTGTTTGTGGCAAGTGTGGATGTTAAAATTGGCCACCTTGATTAGCATTGAATGACCTTGCAGCTTCAAAGCCTGGCTGCTTCCTGTTGTGGCTTCATTAACTGAAGGGCCCTTCCACACAGTCCAATATCCCAGAATATCAAGGCAAGAAATCCCACAATACCTGCTTTGAACTGAGTTATCAGAGTCCACACTGCCATATATTCCAGTTCAGAGCAGAAAATGTGGGATTTTATTCAGCTGTATGGAAGGGGCTTCAGATAACCCAGTTCAGAGCAGATATTGTGAGATGTTCTCCCTTGATATTCTTGGTTATTAGGCTTTGTGGAAGGGCCCTGAGTCCACACTGCTATATAATCCAGTTCGAAGCAGATAATGTGGGGTTTTATAACGTGTGGTAGGGGCCTGAGATAACCCAGTTCAGGGCAGATATAAGTCTTTTATGGCCAGAATCACTGGATTGCTGTGAGTTTTTTGGCCTTGTTCCAGCAGCATTCCCTCCTGACGTTTCGCCTGCATCTGTAGCTAATGGCATCTTCAGCGGTCCTGTTAGCAGTGAAGAAAGTGGAGTGTTTCTATACCTGTGGAATAATGTCCAGGGTGGGAGAAAGAACTCTTGTCTGTTTAAAGCAAGTATGAATGTTTAAAGCAAAGATTTGAGTCGTCATGAAACTGAAGCTGTATCAGTGAGGGTATCTCCATAGAGCAGTGTTTCTCAACCTTCCTAATGCTGCGACCCCTTAATACAGTTCCTCATGTTGTGGTGACCCACAACCATAACATTATTTTCGTTGCCACTTCATAATTGTCATTTTGCTACTGTTATGAATAGTAATGTAAATATCTGATATTTATTTTTTATTTTGGGTACTTTTACCCCGCCCTTCTCAACCCCCGAGGGGGGACTCAGGGCGGCTTACAAAAGGCACAATTTGATGCCTATACAAAAATTATACATAGTGTACAAAACCATAGTTAAAACAATTATCACAGTTAAAACAATCATAACAATCACTATACATCACATCATATAAAAACTATTCACATGCTCAGCGTTCGTCTTTCAGAGTTCCAAATTCCATTCCATTAGTCATTTCCTGGCCATTCTCAAAGTCCTTTCTTTATCTGCACGATTGTCCGAATGCCTGGTCCCAAATCCATGTTTTCAGTTTTTTCCTGAAGGAAAGGAGTGATGTCGCTGATCTAATTTCCCCGGGGAGCGAATTCCACAGGTGGGGGGCCACCACCGAGAAGGCCCTGCTCCTCGTCCCCGCCAATCTCACTTGTGATAGAGACGGGGTCGAGAGCAAGGCCTCCCCAGAATATCTTAGATACCGAGGTGGGACGTAGAGGGAGATCCGTTCGGACAGATACATTAGGCCGGAACCGTATAGGGTTTTGTAGGTCAAAACCAGCACTTTGAATTGTGCTCTGAACTGGATCGGCTTCCAAAGAAGGAGCCTCCACCACACTCCGGAGCAGAGAGTTCCACTGCTGAACAGCTCTCACAGTCAGGAAGTTCTTCCTCATGTTCAGACGGAATCTCCTTTCTTGTAGTTTGAAGCCATTCTTCTGTGTCCTAGTCTCCAGGGAAGCTGAAAACAAGCTTGTTCCCTCCTCCCTATGATTTCCTCTCACATATTTATACATGTCTCCTCTCAGCCTTCTCTTCTTCAGGCTAAACATGCCCAACGCTTTAACCCGCTCCTCATAGGGTTGTTCTCCAGACCCTTGATCATTTTAGCCGTCCTCTGGACACATTCCAGCATGTCAATATCTCTCTACAATTGTGGTGCCTAGAATTGGACACAATATTCCAGGTGTGGTCTAACCAAGGCAGAATAGAGGGGTAGCATTAGTTCTCTGCAAATTCAAAGAAAATAGCCGGAAATTTTGCAAGGTGAACATAGGTGTTTTTTGTTTGTTTGTTTGTTTTGTCATGTCAGGAGCGACTTGAGAAACTGCAATTCGCTTTTGGTTGAGAGAATTGGCCATCTGCAAGGACATTGCCCAGGGGATGCCCGGATGTTTTGATGTTTTGACCATCCTTGTGGGAGGCTTCTCTCATGTCCCAGCATGAGGAGCTGAAGCTGATAGAGGGAGCTCATCCATGCTCTCACTGGATTCGAACCTGCGACCTGTCGGTCTTCAGTCCTGCTGGCACAGGGGTTTAACCCACTGCGCCACCGGGGGATCCCCGGGAACATAATTATCAACCCTGCATATACACAGTATGCTATCTGCTATGCTACAGAATGTAGGGATGGCTACCAGGCTGGATGGTTTTCAGGGGTGATTTATTAAATATGTGGACAACGAATCAATAAATGATTACTATTCAGAGTAGTTGTACATCACCGCTGTTTGCAGAGGCAGTATGTCAATTGCTGGAAAGCAAAGATGAAGACTACAACTGCCTTTATATCGTTCTGGCAGGTGACTGGTTCACCACCGCCCTCACAAAATATTGGTCTGATCCAAAATGGATATTATCTTCTCATATATGTAAGGGTACTAAAATCTAAGTACTCCTCTCCTGAGACATTTTGTGGTCCAGGTAATGGCCCATTACGCTAAATGTGTGTATTGGAGAACATCCCTGAATGTTCCGATACAGACTGGGATTATAACTCATGAAATTTTTTTTAACACACACACACACACACTCCATCTTTGTCTCATACAGCAATCCTCCAGTGTAACATTTGCAACAAGGCACTGTTTTTGGTGTGCATCGAAAAGTATTGCAAATGAAGCAATATCCTTTTTGTGGGTTGTTGTAGGTTTTTGGGCGCTATATGGCCATGTTCTAGAGCAGTGGTTCTCAACGTTCCTAATGCCACGACCCCTTAATACAGTTCCTCATGCTCTGGTGACCCCCAGCCATTAAATTATTTTCGCTGCTACTTCATAATTGTAATTTTGCTACTGTTATGAATCATTATGTCTGATATGCAGGATGTATTCTTATTGGAGTGTTATGGGAGGATTGATTTTGTCATATGGGAGTTGTAGTTGCTGGGATTTATAGTTCACCTACATTCAAAGAGCATTCTGAACTCTACCAATGATGGAATTGGACCAAACTTGGCACACAGAACTCCCATGACCAATGGAAAATACTGGAAGGGTTTGGTGGGCATTGACCTTGAGTTTGGGAATTGTAGTTTGCCTACACCCAGAGAGCACTGTTGATTCAAATAATGATGGATCTGGCTCAAACTTGGCATGAATATTCAATATGCCCAAATGTGAACACTGGTGAAGTTCGAGGAAAATAGACCTTGACATTTGGGAGTTGTAGTTGCTGGGATTTATAGTTCACCTACAACCAAAGAGCATTCAGAAGCCCACCAATGATAGAATTAGGCCAAACTTCCCACACAGAACTCCCATGACCAACAGAAAATACTATCTGTGATTGTCTTTGACGACCCCTCTGACACCTCCTCGCGACCCCTCCAGGGGTCCCGACCCCCAGGTTGAGAACCACTGTTCTAGAGGCATTCTCCCCTGACGTTTCGCCTGCATCTATGGCAAGCATCCTCACTACCTTTGAGGATGCTTGCCATAGATGCAGGCGAAACGTCAGGAGAGAATGCCTCTAGAACATGCCCATACAGCCCGAAAAAACCTACAACAACCCAATGATTCTGGCCATGAAAGTCTTCGACAATATCCTTTTTGTGTTGCATGCCTAGTCTTGCCAGCAATATGGAAAGGAGAGTGGAAATATTGGAGAAAGAAGTAGAATAATTGAAGATGGCACCAGATGGCGCCATAGACAAAATAACAAGCTACTCCGGGCTTCTTCCAAAGTCAAAATAATTGTAGATCTGTCCTATATCACCAATTCCTAAGGACGTTATCCCACGGATGGGAGAGAAGCAGGGGAAAGCATTCTAGGATTCATTTTAACTCTGGCAAATGTCGTCTTTGAGGATATAGCCATCCATCCCAAGTTCTTGCCACATCTTCTTCCCATTTTCTTGAATCAGGAGTCGGGCAAAACAGAGTTCTCCATTTTTGCACAGAAGTGGCCGTGCATTATGAGATGGCTCCCAAGGGACTCCATATTGCCAGTGTGAAAAAAATGGAGTGAAATTGACATTGGATATGTGTGGCCACGGTGGTCCATGCTCTCGTTACATCTAGGATAGACTACTGTGATGCACTCTGCCTGGGGTTGCCTTTGAAGACTGCTCGGAAGCTTAAAATAGGAAATTGGAAATATGCAGGGATTGGGATGCTCTCAAAGGAACATCTAGGATAGACTACTCCAACACACTCTATGTGGGGTTGCCTTTGAAGACTGCTCAGAAGCTTAAAATAGTCCAATGAGAGGCAGCAAGGTTATTTATTTATCGAGTCATCAGCAACCAGTCAATTATATTACATTTCTAACAGAACAAAGCAAACAAACAGACAAAATACAGAATACAAAATGTGTGAGTTTGGTAGTTGATTAGATGTCCTTTGACCAGTATCTGGCCACTTGGAGTGCCTCTGGTGTTGCCGCAAGAAGGTCCTCCATTGTGCTCAGGTTGCATTGCAGCAGGTGGTCAGTGGTTTCCTCCTCTCCACACTCACATGTCGAGGATTCCATTTTGTGGCCCCATTTCTGAAGGTTGGCTCTGCATCTCGTGGTGCCAGAGCGCAGTCTGTTCAGCGCCTTCAAAGTTGCCCAGGCAGCAAGGTTAATAACATGCAGGGAGCATACAAACTCCCATGTTATGCCAGCTCCACTGGCCGCCAGTTTGCTACAGAAAAGTTTGCTTGCCAAAAGTGCTGGTTTTGGCCTATAAAGCCCTAAATGGCCCCGGCCCAATTTACCTGTCTGAACACATCTCCCCCTATGAACCATCGTGGAGATTAAAATCCTCCGGGGAGGCACTGCTTTCGGTCCTGCCATTGTCACAGGCACAATTGGTAGGGATGAGAGAGAGGGCCTTCTAAGTGATCGCCCCCCCCCCCCCCCCCCCCCCCCCCCCCCGGGCTATGGAGGAATTAAGTTGCAGTGAGAGAAAAATAGACAATTGGATGAATTCAATCAATAAAATAAAGCATCTCAAGATTAAAAAATGCAACGGAAAATACTGACAAAATGGTACAGAACTCTAGTGCAATTGGCGCATATTACGAAAACGTGCCCAAAATTATGTTGGCACAACTGCGGAATCATAGAAACATAGAATCATAGAAGTCACTAGGTTTCTGATCCTGCCACTGATAAATGGATAGAAGCATTCTTCTTTTCCACAAAGAGCGCTGTAGGATCCTAGAGTTGGAAGAGACCTCATGGGCCATCCAGTCCAACCCCCTGCCAAGAAGCAGGAATATTGCATTCAAATCACCCCTGACAGATGGCCATCCAGCCCCTGTTTAAAAGCTTCCAAAGAAGGAGCCTCCACCACAGAGAGGCAGAGAGTTCCACTGCTGAACGGCTCTCACAGTCAGGAACTTCTTTCTTATGTTCAGATGGAATCTCCTCTCTTGTAGTTTGAAGCCATTGTTCCTAGTCTCCAAGGAAGCAGAAAACAAGCTTGCTCCCTCCTCTCTGTGGCTTCCTCTCACATTTATACATGGCTATCAAATCTCCTCTCAGCCTTCTTTTCTTCAGGCTAACATGCCCAGCTCCTTAAGCACTCCAAGTGGCCAGCTACTGGTCAAAGGACATATAATCAACTACCAAGCTTGTAAACTTTGTGTTTTGTTTGTTTGTTAAAAATGCAATACAACTGTTTGGTTTGCTCCCAACACGATAAATAAATAAATGCCAGCCACATGGCCTTGGAGGTGTCTACGGACAACGCTGGCTCTTCGGCTTAAAAATGGAGATGATCACCACCCCCCAGAGTCAGACATGACTAGACTTAATGTAAAGGGGAAATCTTTACCTTTGACACAGGTTTACCATCTTAAGTTTTGATGACATGGATTTGTTGCCTTTATTTCTATCTGGCCTTGAGCTCATTGAAATGTTAATTATGACTAAAGTCAGTGGTCCTGTTATGGTTTTTAACACCTCCTCTGTCAATTGGAGAGATTATCTTCCATTTTGTTTTATGTTCAATGGGGTACAGATTCCTTGTAGCCCTCCACAGAGGTTTCCTCATTAATGGATCATTCAAACATCGCCGCAAACAAGCCGTTCTGCTTAAAATCTTCTGCCACTTCTTTCGAATGCCGGATTTTCGCTGCCAGCGCCTCAAAGATATCATGCTGATCGATGGCCGTGGCCACTTTATAGATTAATTCTTCTGTCGACTCCAAGCCTCGCAATCCAAGATTAACTCCACAGCCTGCCAGTGGGTGTTACAAGAAGAAAGAAAGAAAGAAAGAAAGAAAGAAAGAAAGAACTGTTATTTTCAAGGGCCAACTTAAACTCCTGTCAATCTGCAAAGGAAAATTATGCATTTCCTTGGTTTGCAACTTCTCTTTGGAGAATAAATCAAACAAAAAGTACTATTTTCTAAAGAAGACAATGAAAAAGAGGAGGAGTGTGATACAGATAGAGCAGTGGTTCTCAACCTGTGGGTCCCCAGATGTTTTAGACTTCCAGAAATCCTAACAGCTGGTAAACTGGCTGGGATTTCTGGGAATTGTAGACCAATAATAATAATAATAATAATAATAATAATAACTTAATTTTTTTACCCCGCCAACCATCTCCCCGGGGGGGGGGGGGGGGCTTAGGGACACGCCCAAGATTACAATTAAAACACACATGTAAAACACTTTAACCATTTTTTTTGTTGTGTCAAGAGCAACTTGAGAAACTGCAAGTAGCTTCTGGTGTGAGAGAATTGGCCATCTGCAAGGACGTTGCCCAGGGGATGCCTGGATGATTTGATGTTTTTATCATCCTTGTGGATGGCTTCTCTCATGTCTCCGCATGAGGAGCTGGAGTTGATAGAGGGAGCTCATCCACACTCTCCCCAGATTCGAACCTGCGACCTGTCGGTCTTCAGTCCTGCCGGCACAGGGGTTTAACCCACTGCGGCACCGGGGGCTCCAATTAAACCAATTAAAAACATCAGATAAAACAAATAACAACACAATAGAAAGCAATATAAAAACAATACGGCTGAAAGAAACATAGCTGAAGTCCAGATTCAATGAGTGCAATACATTTTTACAGGAGCGCAGGAAAGTGCAACAATACGGTAAACTGGGCAGGAAATACTGTCATAATACATACTGAGGTAGAATGTATGCCAGTGTAAAATATGGGCCGGTGTAGAGTGTGGGACTTCAAATAGGGACAAGAAAATTTCTGGTGAGCTGTTTAGTCAAAAGCGCACCGGAACATCCAGGTTTTTAGTTGACTACGAAAGGAGAACAAGGTGGGAGCCTGTCTGATCTCCCTAGGGAGGGAGCTCCAGAGCCAGGGGGCCACCACCGAGAAGACTCCCTTGTCCCCACCAAACATGCATGTGACGGTGGGGGGAGAGAGAGCAGTGCCTTCCCAGAAGATCTCAAGTTATGCACTGGTTCATAGGGAAAGATGCGATCACGAAGATAAACAGGTCCCAAACTGTTTAGGGCTTTATAGGTGATGATCTGCACCTTGAATTGGGACCGGAAACTTACTGGAAGCCAGTGGAGCTGACCAAAACATCTGGGGACTCACAGGTTGAGAACCACTGAGATGGAGAGTCATCAAACTCTGAAGGATTGAAGGTTCTCCAACTCTGTTTTAAAGATTACTGATATGGCTTGAGGATGTTGGAAATCTTCACACTTCAAGATACTACTGGAAATTCCATAACCTATTGGAAATAACTGCACCATAATCTTACTGAAATGGTAAAAATGATGTCACATCCGTTTGGCAAATGTGAATCTCCATGAACATGTGAAGACCACCTTTTGAAAACTAGTAGTCAAGAGAAGTATGACCTTGTTAGAAGTCAACTCTTTGAACAAGTGATATTCATAAGCATTCATGTAATGGCACATAGGTAACTTAGCTGTTAAACTGAAGAACCATGTCTTTAAACTGCCAAGGATAAAGACATGCCGCTACAAAAATATATTTAGTTAACAGAGGATGTTTGTTTCTTTGAAGTTGAATTGCACTTGTAATTGCCCAAAAGATATACACTTCCTTGAAACCTCTTAGTTAAAATACCCACTCGGAGATAAAAACAAAGTCTTCTTTGAAAAAATAACATATTTTGTTTACTCACAAACAACTTGTATATATTGTCAAAGGCTTTCATGGCTGGAATCACTAGGTTCTTGTGGGTTTTTTCGGGCGATAGAGCCATGTTCTAGAGGCATTTCTCCTGACGTTTCGCCTGCATCTATGGCAAGCATCCTCAGAGGTAGTATTCCGCCCTCTCTCCTTGGGGAGAGAGGGCGGAATATAAATAAATGGTTATTGTTGTTATTATTATCATTATTATTATTATTATTATTATTATTATTATTATTATTATTATTATTATAGAGCAGAATATAAATAAAGTATATTATTAACCAGGAAAAACAGGGGAAATTGTTTTCCTCCTTCAATACCCCACCCCCATAAAATGGACTATACTTTTTTCTCTAGCACCCCCTAGTGCCCCCTGTCTGCATAATGAAGGTAAGATAAAGGGTAAAGGTTTTCCCCTGACATTAAGTCCAGTTGTGTTCGACTCTGGGGTGTGGTGCTCATCTCCCTTTCTAAGTCGAAGAGCTGGCGTTGTCCGTGGACACCTCCAAGGTCATGTGGCCTGCATGACTGCATGGAGCGCCGTTACCTTCCCGCTCTGAAGCTCTGAGCTCTGAAGATCACCTGGGAAGGAATCCCACTGGAGCATTGCAGCACACCCAAATACCTGGGAGTCACTCTGGACCGTTCTCTGACCTACAAGAAGCACTGCCTGAACATCAAGCAAAAAGTGGGTGCTAGAAACAATATCATACGAAAGCTGACTGGCACAACCTGGGGATCACAACCAGATACAGTGAAGACATCTGCCCTTGCGCTGTGCTACTCTGCTGCTGAGTATGCATGCCCAGTGTGGAACACATCTCACCACACTAAAACAGTGGATGTGGCTCTTAATGAGACATGCCGCATTATCACAGGGTGTCTGCGCCCTACACCACTGGAGAAATTACACTGCTTAGCCGGTATTGCACCACCTGACATCCGCCGGGAAGTAGCAGCCAATAGTGAAAGGACCAAGGCAGAGACATCTCCAGCTCATCCCCTGTTTGGGTATCAGCCAGCACATCTTAAATCTAGACATAGTTTTCTAAGATCTACAGAGACACTCGCTGGAACACCTCAGCAAGCGAGAGTCCAAAAGTGGCAGGCTCAAACCCAGAACCTCAATCATGGCTGATACCAAATGAGAGACTCCCTCCTGGGCACACAGAGGACTGAGCGACTTGGAAGGCGCTGAGCAGACTGCGCTCTGGCACCACGAGATGCAGAGCCAACCTTCAGAAATGGGGCTACAAAGTGGAATCCTCGACATGCGAATATGGAGAAGAGCAAACCACTGACCACCTGCTGCAATGCAACCTGAGCCCTGCTACATGCACAATGGAGGACCTTCTTGCAGCAACACCAGAAGCACTCCAAGTGGCCAGATACTGGTCAAAGGACATTTAATCAACTACCAAACTCACAAGTTTTGTATTTGTTTATTTGTTTTGTTCTGTTAGAAATGTAATATAATGGACTGGTTGCTCTGACACGACAAACAAAACCTTCCCGCTGGAGTGGTACCTATTGATCTACTCACATTTCCATGTTTTCAAACTGCTAGGTTGGCAGAAGCTGGGGCTGACAGCGGAAGCTCACGCCTCTCCCTGGATTCGAACCTGCAACCTTTCAGTCAACAAGCTCAGCAGCCCACTGCGCCACCAGGAGCTCCCCGGATAATGAAACAGTACCCAAAATCCAAAGTACTAGACAAGTGTGGTGCTTTCTACAGCTTTATACAGGAGCTCAAATAAATTTGAACCTGGAGATAACAGGAAAAGATACCAACGAGAAATGGTCTGGAGTAAGTCTGTACTCGTATGATGAAAATTCAACAAAAGCATGACCAGGCACACAGATGTTCCTCCTTTTTCAATTTTGCTCCCCATCTGTGCAATGAAAAATATTTTTTAAAAGAACTGACCAGTGTCGAAATTCAACACACGGGCTGCTTCTCCTTCGATGGTGACCACAACATTGTCTTTCTCCAAGAGAGCTGCTGTAACCCGCCGGTGGGAGAGCATGATTTCAAAGAGCCGGTGGCTGCACTGGATGCGATGAAGAGTCAGTTCATTGACTCTGGGTTCAATATCCATCTTGTAGGCATTGAAAGACTGGTGGAATATGTTTTTCATGATCTGTGGGCGACAGAAAATTGTTCAATTGTGAACATTTGGTGACGTGAAACCTTTGCTTAAAAAACCATTTGCAGGTATTGAGACAAATGAACAACAAAATTGAATTGGCCACAGATTTAGAGAGATTGTTGTAGGGTTTTTTTTTTTGGGGGGGGGGGGTCTAGAGCAGTGTTTCTCAACCTGGGAGTCAGGACCCCTGGGGGGGTCGCGAAGGGGTGTCATAGGGGTCACCAAAGACCATCAGAAAACACAGTATTTTCTGTTGGTCTTGGGGGTTCTGTGTGGGAAGTTTGGCCCAATTCTATCATTGGTGGGGTTCAGAACGCTCCTTGATTGTAGGTGAACTATAAATCCCAGCAAGTACAACTCCCAAATGTCAAAGTCTATTTTCCCCAAACCCCATCAGTGTTCACATTAGGGCATATTGAGTACCCGTGCCAAGTTTGGTCCAGATCCATCATTGTTTGAGCCCACAGTGCTCTCTGGATGTAGGCAAACTACAACTTCCAAACTCAAGGTCAATGCCCACCAAACCCTTCCTTTATTTTCTGTTGATCATGGGTATTCTCTGTGCCAACTTTGGTTCAATTCATTGTTGGTGGGGTTCAGAATGCTCTTTGTTTACATGTTAACTATAAATCCCAGCAACTACAACTCCCAAATGACAAAATCAATCCCCCCGCCAACCCCACCAGTATTCAAATTTGGGCATATTGGGTATTTGTGCCAAATTTGCTCCAGTGAATGAAAATACATCCTGCAGATCATTATTTACATGGTGATTCATAATGTTAGGGTTATGGTTGGGGGTCACCACAACATGAGGAACTGTATTAAGGGGTCGCGGCATTAGGAAGGTTGAGAACCACTGTTCTAGAGGCATTCTCTCCTGACGTTTCACCTGCATCTATGGCAAGCATCCTCAGAGGTATAGGATGCTTGCCATAGATGTAGGTGAAACATCAGGAGAGAATACCTCTAGAACATGGCCATATAGCCCAAAAAAACCTAAAACAACCCAGTGTGTTGGGGTTCAGCCTCTGTGTGAACCTGAACCTGATTATCTGATTGTATTTCCTGATGCAACTGAACAGGCTACTGAACATGAATTTGTCCCTGATGGTTTGGAAACTGTTGATTCTGAGGTCAGTGGCTTGGAAAGTGAAACTACACATCCTGATGAGAATGTTTCAGAATCAAGCGGTGATAACTCTCCAGAGGAGCTAGCACCTGCCTTTTTAATGAGGATAGAAAAGGACAGATTTGGAAAAACAGGAGTGAATCGCGAAGGTCAAGCAGATTAAAGGAAAGGGAGGCGCAGGCTTCAAAGTCTGGAGGCGTGTCCCGCAACAGTTTCTTTAGTTTTAAGTGTCTCTCCCCGGGCTCTCTCGTTAGATCAAGCATCGTTTAGACTGAGGCATTACCTTGGCAGATTTCCCGGTTCCCATGGCCTGCATTCCCAGAGACTTCTGGTTTCCAAGTACGGTTAGTGAGATGCCAACAGGTTCCAGGTTTTTATAGTGTTGCTTTTGGAATTTTGATCTAGTTCATAGATATTCCTGACTGCTGAATTTTACTGTGGCTTTTTGGACTTTGTATTTTCCTCTATTTTGTAACCATTTTTCATCAATAAAAAAGGATTGTTTTTTCCGACAGTCAAATGTGGTGAATTAATATCTTATGGTCATGTTTCCTGATCTGGGTTGAAACACAGTGATTCTGGCCATGAAAGCCTTCGATTTGGAGAGAAATCAGATGGCTGGCGTTACAAATCTGTATCAGGTTTCAGCTGGGCCATGCCAGGATTGCTATTGTCATTGCACCAATCCATGTGCTTGCACATGCCCAAGAGTTAAGATCCTCAAGAGAGTACTTTGTCTCTCCCAACTGCTAGTGAAGGCACGTGGGATAGTTTTCCCAATGGATGCTCCCAACCTATAGAATTCTTTCAGGAGGACCTACTGGATCCTTTGCTCACTTTCTACCAGCAGATTAACTAGTTGTGCAGAACAGTTTTTAAAATGTGTGTGTACTGTAAAAAGGTAAAGGTTTTTAAGTCTAGTTGTGTCCGACTCGGGGTTGCTGCTCATCTCCATTTCTGAACCAAAGAGCCAGCATTTTCCATAGACACCTCCAAGGTCATGTGGCCAGCATGAATGGATGGAGTGCCGTTACCTTCCCGCCAAGGTGGTGCCTATTGATCTACTCACATTTGCATGTATTTGAACTGCTAGGTTGGCAGAAGCTGGGCCTAACAGTGGGAGCTCACCTCACTCCACAGATTCGAACCATCAATCTTTTGGTCAGCAAGTTCATCAGCTCAGCGGTTTAACCTGCTGTGCCACCAGGGGACCCTTGTGTGTACTGTACTGAAACTTTTATTCCCATAGTTCTAGTTTTCAATGCTTTTATACTAAGTTAGTGGTATAAAAGGATAGTAGAATTGTGTTTAATGTTCCTCTTTCTTTAGATGTCCTGTTTTTAGTTTGGATTGGATCCCATATCAGAAGAGAGGGGTGCAAGTTAAAATAGGTAAAGGTAAAGGTTTTCCCCCCTGTCATAAGTCCAGTTTGTGTCCAACTCTGGGGATTGGTGCCCATCTCAGTTTCTAAGCTGAAGAGCCAGCATTGTCCATTGACACCTCCAAGGTCATGTGGCCAGCATGACTACATGGAGCACCGTTACCTTCCCACCGGAGCACCGTTACCTTCCCACCAGAGCAGTACCTATTGATCTACTCACATTTGCATGTTTTCGCACTGCCAAGTTGGCAGAAACTGTTTGTTCCTATTGGTTAATGTAGCGGAACAAAATTCATGATACAAGCTCTTTGTTGGCAATCCTTGTTAATTATTTTCTAGCAGCAACAGCACGATAAGAACGGCCATAAATATTCAGACAGGTGTTGTATACAACTGGTAATCAATGCTGGCTTTTCACTAGCTATTTCATTTCCTGTACAGGGAATGCCTATTTTCACTATGATGGATAGATATTATGCGGGAAGGATCTATTAACCGGAGTTTCATCTGAATAGCCGATAGGGGAACAAAATAGTGGCTTTGCATATTCAGAAAAACAAAGACACATGTCATTGTTACGATTGGTACTTTCTACATTTAATTTCCTTCTGATGTGACTGTCCACAGACCAACTCCCCACTGAGTTTACTGTACATGTATCCATGTAGCGTGAAAAGAAAAGCATTTACACATCAATGTATTTTTCTCCAGAGAACACTGGGGTAAAGGCAAGTGGTTAAGTCTCCTTAGTACAGTGTTTCTCAACCTTGGGGTCAGGACCCTTGCGGGAGTCATGAGGGGGTTTCAGAGAAGTCACCAAAGACCATCCGAAAACACATATTTCTGATGGTCTTAGGAACCCCTTTGGAAGAGAAGGCTGTAGATCAGTGTTTCTCAACCTGGGGGTCGGGACCCCTGGGGGGGTCGTGAGGGGGTGTCAGAGGGGTCCCTGAAGACCATCAGAATATACAATATTTTCTGTTGGTCATGGGGGTTCTGTGTGGGAAGTTTGGCCTAATTCTATCATTGGTGGGGTTCAGAATGCTCTTTGATTGTAGGGGAACTATAAATCCCAGCAACTACAACTCCCAAATGTCAAGGTCTATTTTCCCCAAACTCCACCAGAGTCCCCATGATTCCACAAGATTCCACATGATTCCAGAGTCCACAAGAACGTTGCCCAGGGGACACCCACGTGATTTTTTATGTTTTTATCATCCTTGTGGGAGGCTTCTTTCATGTCCCCGCATGAGGAGCTGGAGCTGATAGAGGGAGCTCATCCGCCTCTCCCCGGATTTGAACCTGCGACCTGTCGGTCTTCAGTCCTGCCGGCACAGGGGTTTAACCCACTGAGCCACCGGGGGCTCCATGATATCCAGCTAGTGATAAATAAATACATTGTCATCAATGTCAATGCTGTCTGTGTGCATTCAGAAGAAGATCTACAGGCCACTCTAAACACCTTCGCAGAAGCATACACGAAGCTTGGCCTGTCACTGAACATCGAGATAACCAAAGTGCTGTTCCAGCAGTCACCAGCCATCCCCTCCCCAATGCCAGAGATACAACTTAATGGTGTAACATTAGAAAATTTTGACCATTTCCGCTACCTTGGCAGCCACCTCTCCACCAAAGTCAACATCGACACCGAAATACAACACCGCCTGAGCTCTGCGAGTGCAGCATTTTCCCAAATGAAGCAGAGAGTGTTTGAGGACCGGGACATCCGTAGGGATACCAAGGTCTATAAAGCTATTGTCCTCCCAACCCTGCTCTATGCCTGCGAAACGTGGACTGTCTACAGACGTCACATGCAACTCCTGGAATGATTCCATCAGCGCTGCCTCCGGAAAATCTTGCAAATCTCTTGGGAAGACAAGCGGATAAACGTCAGCGTGCTGGAAGAAGCAAAGACCACCAGCATTGAAGCAATGGTCCTCTGCCATCAACTCCGCTGGAACAGCCACGTTGTCCGGATGCCTGACCACCATCTCCCAAAGCAGTTGCTCTACTCTGAACTTAAGAACGAAAAACGGAATGTTGGTGGACAGGAAAAGAGATTTAAAGATGGCCTCAAAGCCAACCTTAAAATCTATGGCATAGACACTGAGAACTGGGAAGCCCTGGCCCTTGACCGCTCCAGCTAGAGGTCAGCTGTGACCAGCAGTGCTGCAGAATTTGAGGAGGCACGAGTGGAGGGTGAAAGAAAGAAACGTGCCAGGAGGAAGGCACGTCAAGCCAACCCCAACCGGGACCGCCTTCCACCTGGAAATCAATTCCTTCACTGTGGAAGAAGATGCAGGTCAAGAATAGGGCTCCACAGCCACCTACAAACCCACAAAAATAGTCATCAAGGAAGACCATCTTACTCGTCCAACAAGGGATCACCTAAAGCCAAAAAAAAAAAAGCCAAATAAATACATGACCGTGTAGAATGGACCCAAGTCTACCACTGCTGTAATTGCAGTATCAAGCCAA